CTATCTGGCCGTGGGGACGGTGGTGTGTGCCGGAAGGGTGTACAACGGACACCACACAGTAGCACAGGTATTCATAGGGGCATTATTAGGGCTATGGATGGGGTATGTGTGCACGATGCCTGGAGCGCAACGGCTCTTAGCTGCTGTTGCAGGACGGTGTGTGGTCCCCGTAATGTTGGGGTGTACCGGTTGGACTCAGTGGATTGTATGAGGTGGGGAGCTCTTAGGTGGGCTTCCCGGGTCTGAAGGGTGTTGAGGGTCTCGTGGTACCGAAACATTTTGTGTGCAGCTGTTTTGATGTCGTTGGCGGGTGTATCTAACCCCTGAGACGCTTTCCTCCGTCAGAACTATGGTTCTCCTTACGTTGCACATCCCGAGGGGTTGTCACGTGAGTATCGTTGTGTGCTGTGTTACCTTGATCTATACCCCATCTTTTTCCTCCACTGCCATCGTATCGTCGAATGGTTGTTTGTTCTTTCTTTCTCTAAAAAGGTTCCACCAGCATATTCGCTTATTTCAGTATTGCAAAACATCCTCAAGCCCCTTCGGCAATCATGACTTCTGGGAGTATCGCCAAACAGGTGCTTACGGGGTCTGGCCTCGTTGATACTTTGAGCGATCTGATTATTCGGCCGCCTCGCGCTCAATACGATATGGTCGATCTGCAGCAGAAGATATTTACGTTTGACAATAAACCCGAAAACGTGTACCGGAGGGACGACCTAGAGCTTGAGAACATGCGTGGTTTGACCATACGGTGCTCTTGGTATAGGCCCTTAGTGCTTGATGAACGCGGTTCCGTTGAACCTGTACTGCAACCCTGTGTGATCTACTGTCACGGCAATTGCGGGAGCCGCGTTGATGCCGCAGAGGCGCTACCGGTGCTGGAAAACGGCTTCAGTCTCTTCACTTTCGACTTCTGCGGCTGCGGCAAGTCGGATGGGGAGTACATTTCGCTGGGGCATTATGAGCGACAGGACCTGGCCGCGGTGGTGGATTACCTTGGAAAGCAGGATAAAGATGTGAGCGGGATTGCCATCTGGGGTCGCAGCATGGGGGCCGTAACCGCTATCATGTACGCTGCCAAGGACCCTTCTATTAAGTGCATCGTGTGTGACTCCCCTTTTTCCTCGCTGAATGAGCTCATTGATGAT